TGAGCCATCTCTCCGGCCCTACTTTTTGTCTTATGTCATCTATGATAAATGTTGGCAAACTTTTTCTTAAACAGCTAGATAATAAATATTTTAGGATTAAAGACACTACGATTTCTAAATCAAGTCTTCAGTCTTTAGAGCAAAGACCATTGTAGGCAATATATAAATAAACTTGAGGTATGTAATCCAATAAAATTTTATTTACAAAAACAGGTAAACTATAGAGTGCTGAACCTTAATACAGAAAAGTTCAGTAGATAGACAGACAGTCAAATGGATGTTGAAGAATTTGTCATTCTGTGATTTTTTTATGATTAATTTTATTGGTATACTTTTGTTGTATATAATGATCATATTCTCCCTAGAGAATTTGTCCCTATACATAATACATTTTGATTCTTCCTTTCCCCCCATTACCATCCTCTCACTTCAACCCTGCTTCCCCTTCCTTATTTACAAAAGTTTTATTTTCATTTTTTCTTCTATCCTATTTTTGTCTCTTATCTTTTCCTCCCCCCCCCTTCCCATTTGTATATTTTTTCCAACTTACCAATATCTGTCATCCATTTCGGTCCTTATTTACCCTTTTATTTTCTCACACAAGGGAAACAATGGGGTATTTAAACATGTGTACCTGATTTATTTCACATGAAATTATGTTGTTAGGGTAGATCAATTTACCTAAAAATGTCTCATTTTTATGCTTTATGGTCAAGTAGTACTCCATTGTTTATGAAAACCACATTTTCTTTATATATTCATCTGTTGATGGGTATCTGGGCTGTCTTAAACTTTTGCCTATTATAAATTGTGATTCTATAAATAGGAGTATGCATATATTACTGTGGTATGATGTTTTAAACCCTTTTGGAATGATACCAAGATAGATACCAAGAAAAATAGCAGTATCAAATAAAACTGTTATATAAATTTAATGCAATGCCAATCAAAATATCAATAGCATACATCACAGAACTATAGAAAGCATTCCTAAAATTCATCTGAAACCAGAAGAGACCCATAATAGCAAAAGCAATTCTGGACAACAAAGTCAAAGCAGGGGTATCATAATCCTGAACTTGAAATTACACTACAAAGCTGCCATGATAAGAACAGAATGGCACTAGCAAACAGAGAGAGAGAGAGAGAGAGAGAGAGAGAGAGAGAGAGAGAGAGAGAGAGACAGACAGACAGACAGACAGACCAACCACACACATAGATCAGTGGAACACAATGGAAGACCCAGAAACAACTCCAAACATTCAGCCACCTTATCTTTGACAAAGGGACCAGATACTTCCACGGGAAGAAAGACAGCCTCTTTAATAAATGGTGCTGGGGAAACTGGCCTTCCACATGCTAAAGATTAAACCTAGACCTGTAACTCTCAGCATGTACTAAACTAAAATTAAAATGGATCTAGAAGGGCCGGGGAGATGGTTCAGTAGAATAAGCACTTGCTTGGCAAGTGCTAGGGCCTGAGTTTAATCCCCAGTTCTGCCAAAAAAAAAGAAAAAAAAATGGATCTAGATCTAAATATTAAAACAGAAACATTTAACTTGCTAGAAGACAAAAATAGGTAAAACCCTTAAAGTCATAGATGTAGGCAAAGACTTTCAGAAGAAAACTATGTGGTGAATTAACTAGTGGTCTACTTGTAACACCCAGATGAACTGAATCAGGATGGTTCTGGGTATGGAAGGCTCACCTAAGAATTGTTGTCAACAACATAAAAAAGGAATTAGAAAGGAAGATGGTGTGCTGTTGATTTTCCTGGAGATGTGTGTCATGCTGGTTTTCCTGATATGACCTCAGCTGTTCTCATCATAGCAGCTGAGGACCTACTGTCATTGAGGATGGCTACAATTCTTTTCAGGCGATCTCTGGTCTATACTTGGAGTGTGGTTTCCTGTCTCCAGTGCAGGTCCCTCAGCCTGCTGGCTTAGATCCATCATCCCACTGGCACAGACTTTCTAACTCCCACCACTGACCTTTGGGCCTTCTCAGTGCAGATCCTTGATACAGACTTGCATGAGACATTGTTGTGGGCTCTTGGGCTCCAGTTGGACTCATGGAGAACATTGTCAATAGGCTCTAAGTCTTCAGCTGGACTCATGTAGGATATTGATGTGGGATCCAGGCCCTCAGCTAGATTTCTTTGGGGCTTTATGTGGACAGATCTCATGCACTCTTCTGCATTTGATTTTTTTTGGATGAATATTATAAAATAATTCTATAAAGTACGTATCCTATATTAAATATTTTCCCTTGTAAGCCCTGACTACAACACCATGATTGCACAGGAAATATTTTAAAGAATCAACAACTTGGGTCTCATCATATTCAAAAGCTTTTGCACATCAAAATACCACTAATAGAGTGACAAGATAACCCACAAAAAAATTATGGTGCGTCTGCTTAGTAAAATACAAGGCATCAATGACAGTGATAATTTTGAAAATGTGAAGATGCTTTGAAGAGAGAAATCCCAGTAAATATTTTAATTTTGTATCTTTTTTAGACTTTTGTATCTTAAAGTAGACAGTTCTATGCTTGGCTTCATGTTATGAGTTGAAGTCAAAATAGGCGTACTAAAAATATTGAATAAAAATACTTTCAAGTTATATGTATAAGTTTTATGTGAAACAGAAATGAGTTTGTTTTTAGACTTGAGCTTCATTCCCAAGATAGCTATATATATATATATATATATATATACAAATATTTCATAATCTAAAGAAAAAGAACTCATCACTTCTGGTCCTGACAGTTTTGGCTAAGGTATAAGGTAGATAGTATATAAAAAGGAAGCCTCATAAAACCATCTTGAAGCCTTTTTTACTTAGCATAAGTTTGATACTTGAAGTGAATATATTACTGCTTTATTCAAGATATAGTGTCATTTCTCTTTTAATTTTTTTTTATTTTTACAGTGCCCTTATGTCTGCCACTTGCTATATTTACTCACCAAAAAAGACAATGGTGAGTATTTTCATTCCAGTTGTATTACATTTACTCTGTTGATTTTCTTTTCTTTTTTTCTTTTTTCTTGTACCAGGAATTAAACTTACAACCTCACACTTCTTAGGCAGGTACTGTGCCACTGAGCTATATCTCTAACCCCATTCACTCTGTTAAGTTAGTATTTGTTTTGTAGTTTGTAAAGTTAAAATAGCTATTAGCATTACTTATATGATAGTACTCATTCTGTGTAAATTGCTTTTTTATACTTTTATTTAAGAGCATCTACTTAATGTTTCACCTGAACAGGGTATTTATTTTCTTGCTGTATTATAAGAAGACATTATATGAAGCAATGATAGTTAAATATAACTCATTTCTTCTTTTTCTAACCTAAATGCATAGAACCTTTTCTCTTTGCCTTTCCTAGTCAAGCCATTTCGTGTAAGAAAACTGCTTGATCTTCAGGCCAAAATGGTGAGTACTGAAAAGATCTAAGATTAGTCAGTTTTACTGTGTGCCATATACTGAGCGAAGCTTTAGAAATACAAAATTAATGTCAGTTTTGGAGAGATGTAGACAAGTTGTGTTCTGGTCTGTGGGGAGGTGGACGGCTTTGTCGCAGACTACAGACTTCTATGGGTCTCAGCCACCAGTGATCCTGTCAGGCCCACTAGCCGGAGGTTATGAGTGGTTGTCAAGTGTTCATCGGGAGACTAAATCCAGCAGCGAGGGAGAAAGACGTCGAAAGATTCTTCAAGGGATATGGGCAGATCAGGGATATTGATCTGAAAAGGGGGTTTGGTTTTCTAGAATTTGAGGATCCCAGGGATGCAGATGATGCAGTGTATGAACTTGATGGAAAAGAACTTTGTACTGGAAGGGTTACTATTGAACATGCTAGGACTCAGTCCCGAGGAGGAAGAGGTAGAGGATGCTACTCTGATCGTTTTCTTAGTCGCAGACCTCGAAATGATAGACGAAATGCTCCACCTGTCAGAACAGAAAATTGACTTATAGTTGAGAATTTATCCTCCAGAGTCAGCTGGCAGGATCTCAAACATTTCATGAGACAAGCTGGGGAAGTAACCTTTGCAGATGCACATTGACCTAAGTTAAATGAAGGGGTGGTTGAGTTTGCCTCTTACGGTGATTGAAAAACTTTCTGGAAAGGAAATAAATGGGAGAAAAATCAAGTTAATTGAAGGCAGCAAAAGGCACACTAAGCCAAGAAGCAGGTCTCGATCATGGGCCAGGAGTTCTTCTAGGTCTCGTAGCCGGTCTCGGTACCATAGTCAGAAGTCTTACAGCTTGTCAAGAAGCCGGAGCAAGTCCCGTTCTCTTAGTAGGTCTCCTGTGCCCGAGAAGAGCCAGAAACGTGGTTCTTCAAGTAGATCTAGGTCTCCAGTGTCTGCAGATCACTAGAGGTCCCAGTTCTGGTCCAGGCCCAGGTCCAGATCCGTTGACAGTGGCAATTAAACTGTAAATAACTTGCCCTAGAGGCCTTTTTTAAAAAACAAATTCCCAAACCGTACTTGATAAAAATTCTGGTAAGTATGTGCTCTTCTGTGGGGGTGGGGTTGGGTTGGATATCTTTGTAGATGTGGACCACCAAGGGGTTGTTGAAAACTAATTGTATTAAATATCTTTTGATAAGCCTTCTACTCACATTTTTGTGAATGTCTGTAGTATATAGTTTGTGTACATTGACAGAACTCTTATAACTAAAGCAAATTTAATTTTTTGTACTAGAAAAAAGTTTTGAATATTTTAGTTCTTGGTTATTCAAATACATTAATTAAGAATTAGTTTAATGCCTTGATTAAACTAATTAATAGCTTTGGACATCAAAAGAGCTCTAAATTTGCTTGTATATAAAATTTGAGTTTTTCTTGTTAGGGCTAAAGGTGTCCTTCTATCCACCCATTAACAGTTGCAGGACAGACACACACACGGCAGCTGTTTGTCAATGATAATAAATATTATAAAATTGAAAAAAATACAAAATTAAATGAGTCATTTATCTTCAAGCAATTTATTTTCTAGAGATATCAGTCAGTGAAAAAAATCATGATCAGGTCCAGGGGTTGTAGTTCAGTGAATAGATCATTTAGTTGTGTTGCACGAGTCCCTGTTGTCATCCCAAGGACCACAAAGAAACACATGTACAACTCCCAAGAAAAATAGTCATATTAGGTGATGATAGGCAGAAATGGTGATAGTTGAGAGAAAATTCAAATTAATAGGATTTAAGTAGGACAAGAAAGGTATTACTGAAAGAAGAAACAGCATGAGCAAAGACTGTAGATATCAGGCAACAAACCTTGTTATAAGAACAGTGTTATTATGGTAAAAATATATTAAGGGTTGGCAAGAAATGATTTTGTGAGTTTATAGTTTTGGTGGATGCATCTACGAAAATATTTCAAGACATTTTCTTATAGATAGTTAAAATTTAGTGTCTCCTCTGATACTATCTCATGTCCTTAAAGTTCTCTTGCATTATGATTTCCTCTGTACCTGTCAGGGAGCAGAAATGTATGCAGAATAAGATATAAAACAATTAGAAGTAGTAGTATCCATGCCGAACTGAAGCCATCGTGGCCTGCCTAAAGGCATTCACATTGAGTGAAAGACACACAGAACGTATTCATGCTCCTCTATTGTGAGGTTTTACTTTCAGTAATATGGTTCAATGAATGTTATTGTTTTATAGTTCCTGTCTTCGTTCCATGGGTGTGTTATCTTCTCTTTGTTCTCTGGGCATATTAGTGGTAATGTTGTTATATAGACTACAAATTGTGAAGAGATATGTATTTTCTCATAGCAAAATATATGAATAGAAATACCATTTTTATCATAAGACATTGATATCTTGTATTAACTGAAGAATAATTTATGTTCAAGTTAAAAATGATTGTAAAGATTATTGTCTAAAAATTTTAAACCTAGATATTAAGTATATGGTTTCATTACTAGCATTCTATATAGTACATTACTAAAATTTTCACTATGAACACCTATTCATAACGATGTATTTATAAAATTGTTTTGATTAGCTTAGTTTTGGGGAATTTCGCAATTTTACCAAAATCAAACCATGGTGTGTATGTTCATATGTACCCTAACCTACATAACAGTAAAGAGACTGCAAGCAATGTTTTGGATGTGTAAATTTCTGATCCTTGACAAAGATTTTATTCTACCTGTTCCCATATATGTCTCTCAGTGCTCTATGAAGGAAACAAAAACATAGAAATTGCCTTTCTGATGAGAAGTGAAGCAGGCATGCTATATCTCATGTGCTTGACTCTCCTGCAAACAAACTTTGTAACAAGAAGGTGGCATTTGGGCATCATCTAAGGATTACCGAGGATGGTTTTTGGGAATCTCCCTCTACCAGGCATGAGCTTATTTGTGTGCACTTAAGTGATGACTTAAGACTTGTGTGAATGAACAAAACTTTTTTTTTTTGGCGGAACCGGGATTTGAACTCAGGCCTTTGCGCTTGCCAGGGAAGCGCTTATTCCACTGAGCCACCTCCCCAGCCCCAAAACTTTGTCACTGTAGAGTCTTGTGTTGTTAGGGAATCTCCCAGATGACCGTCTGTTTTCTCAGAGATTTCTTCTGTCCCTGCCTATCAAGTTTCAAGGATCTCTAGAGAAAGAAAACCAATAGCATATGTGTGTAAATGTATGTAGATTAACTATAAAGAACTGGCTCACACAGTTATAGAGGCCCTTAAGCTGAAAAGCTGGTTTCAGTTTGAGTCCAAAGTCAATCTGCTGTTGAGCCATGAAAAGCTGTTGTTGCATAGAAAGCCTGCAGTTGGCTGGAGGAGTCTCTTCATCAGGCAGACTATTCTTTTGTTGTTGTTGTTTTGTTTAGTCTGTTAATTGGATGAAACCTTCCTACATTATAAAGGCCAACCTGTTTTGCTGAAAGTATATATAGGTAATGTTAATCTCATCTAATATACTTATAGACATACTGTTATGGGACCAGTGAGATAGCTCAGTGGACTAAAATGCCTGCTTAGGCAAGGTAAGAGACTGCAGTTTGATCCCCAGCACCACATGCTACGCCAGCCCCACCCCAACGGTGGGCTGAGCTGGCCACAGAGTTCTAGCATAGTGGTGTATGTCTGTAATCCCAACACTGGGGAGGCTGAAAACAGGAGGATCACTGAGTCTGAGCTGCATAGTGAGACCCTGTAACAACCAAATACAATTAAAAAAAGAAAAAAGAAAAGAAATGCTGTTATGGTTTGGATCTAGATGTCCTCCCAAAGCCTAATGTACTCACTGAGTTTTTCAGAAGGGGCTGAATCTGGAATGTGTGATTGATTCTTGTAGTGCAATGCTGGGGTTAAGAGTGCGGAGATTAAGGGTGAGTGATTGACTATCAGTCCACTGATTGCATTGGCACTGCCCTAATCCACATAGACTGGATACAATATAAGGGAAAGAAGGAGGTTTGTCTCACTCCCTCTTGTTGCTTTTGCTGTCTTCTGCCACCATGAACTGTTGCCCTCTGCCATGCACTACTCTGCCTTGAAGCCAGGCAATTATATATTGAAACTTCTATAAAGTGTGAACTAAACAAACCTTTCCTCCTTTAACTTTGGATGTTGAGCATTTAGTCTAAGCCATGAGAAAAGTAACTAAGATAAATACTGAGAATAATGTTTGAGCAAATGTGTAGGTACCCCATGGACTAGACATATCAACACATAAAATTAATTAACAGTGGAAATAAATCTTGCTACTGGAATAGGGACCTAAGCATTATAAAGGATTTTTTTCTATTTGTGAAAGTTGGCTCTTTACTGAGGTCCTCCACTGTGATTCTGTTGATACTTATTTGATTTCTTATGTTCACTAGTGTTTGTTTTATGGAGTTGGGTTCTCTATATTTGTTGATAAATATTTACAGTTTTGTGTCTTCCTATTGAATCGTTTCCTCAAGCAATATGTACTGATCTACTTTGCCTCTTTCTGATCAGTTTTAGCTTGAAGCCTACTTCAACTGCAAATAAGATTGCTGTCCCAGTTTGCCTTTGGGGGTCCTGATGCATGGAATATTGTTTTTCCTCTTTGATTTTTTTAATCTATAAAATTATTCTTGAATTAGATTAGATATGTCTCTTGTATGCAACTAACCACTGGGTTTTGTTTTTTGATTTATTCTGCCAATCAGTGTCTTTTAATTAGGGAGTTGAGCCAGGTATGATGGTGCCTACCTGTAATCCCAGCACTCAAAAGGCTGAAGCAGGAGGATTGTTGTGAATCCAAGGTCAACCTGAGCTATGTAGTATGTTTAAAGCCAGCCTGAACTCCATAGTGAGACTGTCTCAAAATAATAATAATAATTTAAAAAATAATGACAATATTTAGGAGTTGAGGCCATATACATTGAGAGTTATTTCTGCACATTATTATCTTATTACTATCTTTAAAATATCTTAGTGTTTTTGATTCTTTTGTTCTTTTCCTCATCCCAGTTTTTCCTTTCCTTTGATCAGATTCTTTCCCTTTCACAGTACTATCGTACCTTTCAGATTTTATTTACTCTTTCAGGTTCTTACACTAGAGAGGCAATATGGTATTTGCACATATGGGTCTGATTTATTTCACTTACTGGTATTTTTCTCTAGTTGCATCCATTTACCTATACAAGCCTTGAGTTTATCTTTTTATGTATCTGAGTAATATTCCATTGTTTCCAAGATTTAGCTATGACAAATTGTGCTGCTATAAACATGGATGCACATAAATCATTGTGGTACGGTGTTTTCAGTTCATTTGGGAAAAGACCTAAGATTGGAATAGCTGGGTTGAATGAGATCTCCAATCCTAGCTTTTTGAGGAATCTCCACACTGATTTCTTTTTCTTTTTTTTTTTTTTTTTGCGGAACTGTGGATTGAATTCAGACCCTTGCACTTGCCAGGGAAGCGCTTATTCTACTGAGCCATCTCCCTGGCCCCACACCGATTTCTGTAGTGGTTGTACTAGTCTACACTCCAACCAGCAGTGGAGAAGGGTTCCTTTCTCCCCACAGTTCCTCCAGCATTTGTCATTGGTTTTCTTCTTTATAATAGTTGGAGAGGCAGCTGCAGCTCAGCTGAGCTTCAGCAAAGTTTGCATTCATAGTTTCAATAGAATTTTTTTATCTCCAGGATTTCTGTTTGGCACTTTTTCATTGGAAATTTGTCATTCATGTTTTAGATAGTTTTAGTTAACTCTTCTATTTTTATATGTTTATATGTTTAATCACATCGATCAATTTGTTTGTTACTTCTATTTCTCTGTTTAGTTAGGTCAGTCTTGAACTTGATGTTTTTTTCTTCTTTTTTTAACATTTTGTATAGCTCGGCTATTTTATGTTTGATTTCCTTAATTGGTGTCCCTTGGATATGTTCTGGGAAGGTGGGAGTCTTTAAAGGAATTTTCTCAGTTGTTCCCTTGTATTTTCATGATTTGATTTAATTTGATTTGGGCTGAAGGTTGAAATCAAATAGAGTAAAGACTTCATTGTTAACATGATGATCTGTTAAATCAGCTTCTAGTTTCCAGTAATGTGATCTTGGTTTTATTTGTAAGAGTTATTGTCTACCACTAAACCTATTCAGTTCAATTGAATTGGACCCAGTCACATATAGCAGGTGTCTAAATGATTCTTTCCTTCCTTTCTTTGTCTTATATATTTATGTATTTATTTATTGGATACAGGGTCTTACTATGCAGTTCAGACTCATAGTGATCCTCATTTCTCAGCCTACCCAGTGCTGGGATTATAGGGCTGCACTACCATGCCCAATTTCTCATGCAGTACCAGGATCAAACTCCGGTCCTTGCATGTGCAAGGCAGTCACTTAGACTGCTGATCTATCTCCCCAGCCCTCTTTGTCTTTTTGAGACAGGGTCTCACTATGTAGTCCACCCTTGTCTTGAACTCACTTTGCAGCCCAGGCTGTTATCGAATTTGCAACAGTCCTCCTGTCTCTGCCTCCCAAGTGCTGGGATTACAGACTTGTGCCCCCACACCCAGCTCCCTTCATGCTTTATTCATGGTCATATTGCTGGCAGCCAAGCTGGTTTCTTCTCCATGATGTATTTAACTGCCTGCTTAGGTATGCTGAGGACTGTCATTCTTTCTGGATCCATCTCCTAGTTTCAAGCCATGTTTTGGGGTGTGGCCAACTGTAGACCTTTGTTTCTTTCCCAATATCTGACCACATCATTTAATTTTGGAAGAAGAAGAAATGATTCAGTTTGCCCAACATCCATCCTCCCACTTTTCCTCCCCTAGCTGCAAGGCAAATTTTCAGTTTCACTGAGGGACTTTCTGCCCAGTATATCACCCAAAGCCCTCTGCCACAGGCAGCTCTTTTTCTTCTTTCACCCTCAAATGTGTCTATTTTTTGTTCTTGTCTCAAGAAGTCTTTTTGCCAAAGGATGTAGCTTCATGCAGTCTCCAGGCTTGGCAGGCAACGTCCTTTGCCCACGTGGGACAATGGGTAGAATTTCACTATTCAAGCTCTTTCCAGTGTTTGGGGAAACAGTAGGAAATTGCCCACTCTGTTCTGGCTTCACTGAGTCTCCCTTCTTTCCACAGTGTTCTTTGGGATGCCCGTGGGCTTGGCACTGCCCACAGTTGGTGGTATTCAGTCCCTATCTCCCCAAGGGATAGGGGCTTTCTTTGCTAACACTGAGTGATTGTTGGTGGGTGAGATGTGGCAGGGATACAGTGTTTGGTGTTTGGGAGAATGATGGGGGAATGTGTGTGTGTGTGTGTGTGTGTGTGTTGCTGGCCCTTGCGTTCTTTGGTTGCAGTCTGCAGCTTCTTTGGGGCTCTAACAGCAGATATTTTCAACATTATAACTGTCATTTTGGTTTTGTTTTAATAAATTTAGTTTCGATTATAAATGGCCAACTAATATATGAAAAATGGTAAATATCATTAGCTATCAGGGAAGTGGTAATCAAAACTACAGTGGACTGTCATCTTACTCCTGGTAGAATGACTGGTATAAAAAATATCCCCCAAATAACAAACAATCATGAAGACTTGTAGAAAAAGTAACTCTTTTATGCTTTTGGTAAGAATGTAAATTTGTGTAACTGTTATGGAAATCAATATGGAAGTTCTTCAAAAAACTAAATGTAGACCTGCCGTGTGATCCAGCTATCCTCTTATGGCAAAATGAACTGACTGCAGGAAGACATGGCATTGAAGAGGTCTAGGAGGCAGCAATTTTATTACACCAGTGGGCCGGACTGGAATGCCTCCTAAAGAGTCAGAGCCAAGCCCATCAGGGTTTCAGGCTTTTAAAGGGGAGTAAGTGGGAGGTACAGCAGATTTTCTGTTACGATTGGACAATCATGGATCATAGGTTGCCAAGGGAATTTAAACATCTCAGGTTACACTGCAAGGCCCTCAGTTACACAAAGACAGTAAAGACGGGTGTTATACAGAGGAAGAAGTATTCGGTTCACATCCTTGTCTGGGTTTGTCTTCTTGGTTTTGGTAGGCATTCCTGGAGGGCCTTTACTTAAATTTTAATTCTCTATCAATCCCACATGTGAGCATACAGCATATGCAAAGGAAATAAAATTAGCCTACTAAGAAGATACCTGCACACCCATGTTTATTGTGGCACTATAATACAAGCTAAGAAATGAAACAGACTTGGATGAATAGATAAAGAAAATGTGGTATATATACACATTGTGGAATATTAAGCCATGAAAAATAATGTAATGCTGTCATTTGCAGCAAAATAGATAAAACTAGAGAATATTGTGTTAAGTGAGGTGATACATAAAAAGACAATGTCTTAGTTACTTTTCTCTCATTGCTGAGCCAAAATATCCAATACCAGAAATTAAGGAAGAAAGGTTTATTTAGCTCACAGTTCGTTGAGGTTTCAAGTCTGTAATCAGCTAGGTATAAGGCAGGGTGGTATGACTGCAGGGCAACAGTTCAAGGCAAAAAAAAGCAAAAGCAACAAGAGCAAATGGGGGAGAGCAAGCCTCTTTTCCTGCCTTATATTGCCTGCAGGCTATTCCTTTCAGGTGGGTGTAGCACTCACATCTCCATGCCCTCCTCTGGTACAAGCTGAGGTATTTATAAAGTGAATGAATCACTGACAAATCACTCAGCTGAACTTTTACACTTCTCAAGTTGACACAATAAACAACATTTACAGTAGTAAGGGCATATCCTCTACACTCTAGAATATAGAACTGCTGAGTTACTTAGTTAATCTTCTGCACTCCTCAAGTTGACCTAATGTATCAACCATTACAGATAAGTACCATATATTGTCATATAAGAAAGTTAAAAACTGTAATCAAAATATAGAATAGTGAATAATAAAGGTTTGGAAAGGTATGACAGGGAATGGATAAAGGCAGATTGGATTTGATCAGTGCAAAGTTTATGCATGTATGTAAATATCACTTGACTCAATGTGTATGTGTTAACGAAGATAAAAACGTTCAGATTTAAAAATGTGTTATAAAATAGGAATATAGTTATACACATTTAAATTTTTAGTTTTTAAAAAGTTATACATCCTGAATGCATAGTAGGGCATAACGTCTAGATTTGCATAAACACATTCTATAATATTCACACAACAGCAAAGTCACCTAACAATGTATTTTTCATGATACATCTGTCATTCAGCAATGCATATTGTACTCTTTGTAAGCACTGTTTTCTGCCTTACTTTGTATGATATTAAATACAACAAAACTTTTAATCAAATACAGTTTGGTTATTTGGAATTCATTTTAGCAGTATGTTTTCTCTGGATTGTCAGCTATATCAAACACATATCTAGAAATAATCATTTTATTTTGAAGTTATTATTTCATTAGAACTTGTTTAGTTATATCAAGCAACTTGACTATTGCATACTAATTTTAAGATTCCTAGTTGATTTTGCAGGATTTATGATGATTGAGTACTGTATTAATATTCCCTCTGTTCTGTTTTCTTTGTTTCTTTTTTGGGCCTACCTTCTTGATGTCTGTATCAAAAACAAGTAAACTTTGAATCTGCAGTATACTGTCAGTGTGAATATTCTGAGTATATGTTTAGTTTGGTTTTTGTTATTTTTCTTTTCTTTTTGGTGTTTGTTAGTTTCTCCCTAGTTTCTCATTGACCACATAATCAAAAATGCAATATTCTACTTTATTTCAGGGAATGCAACCTCATCTCCAGGCTTTGTTGTCACTTTACAAGTGCTTTGCTCCTGCTTTGATTTCTGTATCTTTGCCTACAAGGAAGAAGGTAAGAGGTTATTAAGAGATAGGTTATACTGAGGTTGAAATATATTTGATATCGTTAATTTACAGATTAATACTAAAACATTTACATCCTGCTGTTTAAAGATGTAATATTGTGACACTGTTTTAGGGAAGTGTTATTAGAAGTTGGCACTTTTTTTTCTGTATTTTAGGGAAGGGTCTACAGGGTATTGAGGGTCTCACTAGCAGATCAGCCTCATAGAAATACTCCTGTTTACAGCCTCTCAAGTGCTGGGATTACAGTCGCATGCCACCACGCCCAGTCTCAGTTGCAGTCTCAGTGTGCCAGGGCGGGGGGCAGCATGGCAGGCCCAGGGATCGAACTCTAGGCCCCTGCATCTGCCTAAGCAGGTGCTTTAGTCTGCTGAGCTATTTGGCTGACCCTTGGAGTTGGCACTTTGTATCAATCCCATTTGGTGCATTCTATAGATTGCTGATTATGAACCAGGTGTAGTAAATTATTTGTATGGGTGTAAATGATTTCTTAATGAATATGTCTTCAAGTAATAATGACTTTTTTACTTTATGTTGCTCTTACGGGTACCTACTTTCTTACACTTTACATTCAAATTTATAGATCTACTTTAAGAATTCAAAGGATCTTTGGTATTCAGCTGTGCTTGCTGTGAGACTTAGAAACCATGGACCTTTTTCTGAACCTCTAAAACTGACATTAAGTCCAGCTAATTTACATCCTCAAAAAAGAGTAAGTATCTAAAGCCTCAGATTTCTGTGGCTTTCTTTTGTTAAATGCAGGTAATAGCCATTCATATGTTGGAGAAGATTTCATACATTTAAATATATTTTAATTTACCAGGATTTCATAAAAACTGTATTCAGATTCCATTAATTGAAATGACTTAACAACAATTTGTTATTGATCTTGTTTGTTTTTTTGTGGTGCTGGAGATTGAATCCAGGACTTCATGTTTCCTAGACAAGTGCTGTAGCATTGAAATTGAAATACATCCCTGCTGTTTCTAATTTTTATTTTTAAACACAGTCTCACTAAGTTTTTCAGGCTGTCCTTTAACTTGTGATCTTCTCTCAGCCTCCTGAGTAGCTGGAATTACAAGATGTGTTATTGTTGCTCCTGGCAGCACTGCTTTTCTGTTTATATTTTGTAGTCTGTTTAGTTCATTGATATACTTCCCATGTTTTGTTTTTGTTTTTGTTTTTAGAAATGGAATTCTCACTTAGTTATTCCAGGGCTAAAGTCTGGTAACTATGCTAATGGATGTGGAAAAAAGGAGATGAGTCTTTCTGATTGTCTTAGTTGCAGTGGATCACTTCCAGTAGAGCAGCTTAAGAGCTTCCCTGTACTCTTACAAAACATGCATTGCTTAGAGGTATGTGGCTGGATTAAGTGCTTATATGCACTTTGTTCATGACTTATTTTTGTTCTGTATTTCTTATGTGATGCTTTCCTTGTGCCACGACTCTCTTTTCATGTACTTACTATTGACTGATTATTACATCTTTATAGCTGCCTTCTCAGATGGGCTCAGTGCTAAACAACTCCCTGCTACTTCACTATATGAACTGTGTCAGAGATGAGTCAATCTTACTGAGGCTGTACCACTGGTTGAGTCAAACATTACAAGAAGGTAGGAATACACTTAAAAACATTGGCTAAATGAGAATGGAACAGGATGGTTTACAAATGGATTCTTTTATAAGATTGCCAAATTCCAGATAAGACATGCCTTCTTAGGCCGTAATTATTTCTCTTTAGTTATATATTTTTAGTATGAATGCTTGTGTCATAACATTAAGGCAGTAAGAAAGGATGGCTGTTGTGAAGGAAGCACTACTGAATGGCCACCCAGACTTACTGAGTGGTTCTATTCTAATGACTGTCACAACGTGAGGCCTCTTCCTCCTTCTGTGCCCAGAAACTTGCCATCTGCAAGAGTCATTGGATTAATTCTAACCAAACTCAGAAGAGACGCATGTGTAAACCAGTATGTCAACTTATTTTGTAATAGAAGTGACTTTTTCTTATAACTAAAACGTTCATGTCTGCCAACTAGAATATTTCCTCTCTGTTATCAGAATATATCAGAGACAAATTTGTCATTAGAAAATTTTTGATGTATGGAAGTAAAGGAAAGCCAGTGAAAAGTCTTTCATCCAGGCCATATGAAGGACTGTTCATTTCTTTCCTCTGAAATAGTATACTGTTGACTAGATTGAGCATTTCTTTGTTGGTTAAAAAGCTTCTGACTCTTCAGGTCAGTTTAAGGCAGTTCCAAACTAATTCTTCTTCAGAGAAGACTTGATTTCCATTTAGTAAATTCTTACCACTTGTACATGATGTCCTTCTCACCTTTCACTGAATTTTAGGGAAGGCTCAAATTTTTCATTCATTAATCTGTCATCTCTTAGATTACTATGTGAAATAAAGATAATCACATTATGTGGGAATTTTACCAGTTTTTTACTATAAGCTTTCCTCTGTATTCCCGTATTCTTGAGATATATCTTGCTATCACCCCAACATCTTCGTTACAACCTACACTGTGAGTTGGCTATTATGTACGAAACCTACAGGTTTTTAAATTTATCATTTGTTGGGCTAGCCAAATAGTTCAGCGGATTAAAGCACCTGCAAGCAGGCACAGGGGCTGGGGTTTGATTCCCGGGCTTGCTGTACCAGCCCCGCCCCCAGGGTGCACTGAGACTGAGACTGAGACTGGGCGTGGTGACATGCACCTGTAATCCCACCTCTTGGGAATCTGTAAAAAGGCGAATCACTATGAGTCTCATCTAGTAATGAGACCCTAAACACCCTGTAGATCTTTCCCTAACGTACAAAAAATAAATTTATCATTTTTCACTTCAGAATACTAATAATTATATTTTGTGCAGTTTTTATTGTATAATGAGATTTTTATATTTACTGTTTCTGCTGTAGAATGTATTTGGTATAAGGTGAATGATTATGAACATGGAAAAGAATTTACCACCTTCTTGGACACAGTCATCAGGGCAGAGTGCTTCTTACAAGTAAGATCCCATTTGTCTCCTGTATACTCCACCACTTTTTACTGAAATTTATTTAGATGTTTATCAAAAACCTATTCATTCATACCTAGCATATTTTTATTTTTTTAAAATTTTTTTCCATAATTTTATTGAGAAACAAATAGCAGTGAGACAGTTTCAAATCAAATTGGTAGGACAGTTCCAATAATTAACACATTGCATACTCACTTGTTAGTAGTTATTTGCTGTACGAGATGCAGACATGATATCCTATTTACAAACACTATTAGAACAAATCCCTCCATTCATTAAGAGAATGTAACTGTATCCTAACCATTTTGAATACACAGATACAAAATGGACATTCATCTGTATCCCCTTTTTTGTTTAGTTCCATCATTTGAATATTATAGGTGTGT